ATGTCTCACAATTGATCAAAAGATTTTATTACATTTCTTAAAGTTAGGTGTCAATGACTTTGACATTAAATAATTCAAAGAATCAAAGTTTTCTCTCATTAAAATGATAAATGTAACGAACAAATTGTTGAAACTTTACTTTAACGAAAATACACTTCACAGGGTTGTACGAAAAACTGTTACCAATTTGCCAAAAACGTCTCGATGTAAATGCAAATCTGTAAATGAATAAACAGTTAGTAACACAATTGGATTTTAAATTACATTATTTGTAAATTGTTTTTGTCGCGAATTTTTTTTTCAATTTGTGTCGAACTTATAGGTTGTTAATTAGTGTTAATTGAATTAATGACGACGTTTCCGACTTTTTCTGTTTATAAAACACACAGTCGGTGATTTGCCCAAAAACTCTGACTTGTTAAGAAGTCGTTGCGTTTATACTTCTTTTTATGTATTATTCGCTAATGTTAGTGTTAAATAAATCATGACTTACTTATAAAATAATGAAGACATAACTCTACGAAGGTACAAAAGGGTACTAACCATTTCTCTTTTTAGGGATGCGGTTTTCGTTACACGGTGCAACGAGAAAAAAAAGATCGAAAAACAGAATTTTCATAGCCCTTTTGAGTTTTGAGATACGGAACGTTTTTGGTAGCTTTGTATTTTGGGACACTTCTCGTACCTCGGTTATTCTAAAGCTTATTAGAAAAGTAAAAATTTTGTTTTTTGCCGTTTTGCGCAGAATTTCTTTATTTCTTTATTTTCTTTATTTTTTCTTTATTTTCTTCTAGTCCAATATTAGAACAATAAAGACAAAGAAAATGATTAAATTAATGTATTGGCTTCAATCCGATTCAATCCAACTAGTTATTACAAAATAGAAGACGACGCGTTGACCTATAAGATGACCACTGAGGTTGCCGGAGACAGACATTATTTTACCTTTATTTTTATTTATTATTTTTATTTTTAATAAGACGTATACAAACCATATTTAAGACAATTCTATAAACCACCAATTTAAAAATTTTATTTTAAAACTAAATTTATTGCATTTTTAAATTACTTTTGTTATATTAGAAAATAGAAATTAAATTGTTTTGTTTTAAATTAAAGAGAGTGTTCGTATAACCTGTTATAGAGGCCAACTAACAAATACGATTTTTTTTCAAAATTTAAATACTAGGCGTAATATTAAACAGAATCACTGAGTATTATATATTTTTGGAGATAGAAAAAAGCTGAGTATGGCAGTGGATTCTGCTTTAAAAGGATCCACAAATCCAATTTGTACTTTTCTAATAAGCCTTAGAATAATTTAGATGCGAGAAGTGTCCGATCTTTGGTTTCTCGAAAAAGTAGCATAGTGTCGCTAAAACCGCATCACTATATCTTTTCTAATACGCGAGACACTCAGTGAAACCATTCAGAAATGGCCAGCTGGTACATCCAAATCTGCCCATATAAAAAAAAACTGAAAACTGGCAACGTTGGTAGCCAGCCTGTTGGTGTTACCATATTATGGTTCGCTTTGTATATTTCTTTTTGTGTATGATTTTTTGTTTTCTCTTACTTTCACAAAGTAAACATTGTATTGTATTGTATTCTAGTTTGTTTTATACAAATGCGAGGAAAAGGCTTTTTTATACTTCCTTCTGTAATAGTATATTATGCAACAAGTGCGGTAAACGGTATTTGACATGAGCGGAGCGAGTGTTTAATAAACGAGTGAGTTAAAAAGTTTACCGAACGTGTTGCATACTATACTTTCTCTACAACCGTTAGTTTTTGGGTACATTTTCGTAAAACAACACGAATACATTCACCGACATGACCGTCAGAATTGACAAACGTCAAAATTCAAAGCGTGGGAAATATCTCCGAAAACATCCGATTGCTTAAAAATCCGTGCTGTAAAATCCCGGAAATGTCCGAAGTGGCTCGGATTCGTGGAAAAAGAAACTGACGTGGTAAAGTGACGCTTCCCGCACGCTAGATCGGTGGGTAATTAGGTATTTTACAGACGGTAATAGAAAAAATACTCTATTATACACCGATCTAGCGCGCGGGAAGCGTTACTTTATCATGTGAGTTTCTTATCCTACGGATCCGAGCCAGGTCATTTCCGAGATATTAAGACACGGGTTTGGGACCCGGATGCTTTCGGAGATTTTATAGTACGGCTGGACTTTTGACGGTTGTTAATTCTGACGGTCATGTCAGTGAATCTATTCGTGTTGTTTTGCAAAAATATATCGAAAAACTAACGGTCCTAGAAAAAGTATAGTATGCAATATGTTTGGTAAGCTTTCTAAGTCGTTTATTAAACACTCGCTGCGCTCATGCCAAAGAAACTCGTGACTCAAATGCCGTTTGTCACACTTGTTGCATAATAGGAAATTAAGGAGCAATGTGCGACCACTTAAAATTATTCTCATTTTGTGACAAGTGATATGATAGTATCAATGCTGACGGCACGCCACTGCAGCGAGATTATCTTCTCAAACAAATTGAACGGAATTATGGTTTGCTTTGCTGTGCTACAGCTTTTTCCGAATCAATTATTTTTATCAGTTTGTGACTGATATTGGTACAGTCATAGACTTCGGTTAAGGGCGTGCAGAGTAGCATTTAGTTATGCAGAACATAATATAAGTCAGTATTTTCAACATGAAACGGATATAGCTCATAAAGCATGGCTTTATGGATTTTTAAATAGATTTCTTAAGGTATAACTTAGGCAGCCTGAGACAATTAGTTTAAATCGGATTACACCCTCTAATAAAGAAGCTGTAGGAATATTTCATTATAATCTTCAAACTCTCATGCATAAGTTTACATTTTTACAAGCCAAACGTCGAAAGGATCCTGGATCCAAAGGCGTACACAAAATGGATTCTGCTAACTCCGTTGAAAGAGGGAGGACTATCATAGATGTTTTATCTAACAGTGCGGCTGGGAATTTATCCCCGGAAAATGATGATCAAATAATAATAATAACAGTCCTGTACATGCTTTCTATAGATGTCCTAAGAATTGTAAGATCAATTTCGAGTTATTTTGTGAATGCTAATCACATTTTTCCATACACAGCCTATACTTTTGGTTCTAGATAATTACAATAGCCACATTTTGATTGGTGCATATAATTTTTGTGAAGGAAATAATACGCATATAGTGTCTCTTCCACAGCATACCTTCGATCTTCGGCCGTTAGACTTGAAATTTCTTAGTCCATTTAAGAAACGCTCTTTATAGAGAATATGATTTTTACCATTAATGAACATAAAAAAATATCAGAATATGACTTTGCTGAATTATCGAATAAGCCATTCATGAAAGTCGCCACAATCGAGAAATGTGTTTCCTGCTTCCGTACTTTAAGAATCTATCTACTCCTTAGATCTAGATAATTTTAACGACGATGATTTTGCTCCTTCTAATCAAGTAAGAGATTTGGTTGTAGAAAGTAGTTCTGACCAAGATGATCCAATAAGGGCTCAGAATAGCATAGCATTTTTGTTTTGTTTTGTGCTCTTTTTACTGATCACCTTAAGCTGTGTGTTAGTAGTCCAATAAAAAGAATGATGAGAAGATATTTATGATATTGATATTTTTGGATTGCGCAAATTAAGAAATTAGAACAGTATTTCAGGTTGTTGTTTCCTCAGCCTTAATTTTGAATTAGTAAACTAGCAAATTTTTATATCGTCATACGTTTATTTTTATAATTAAGATGTTTCATATATTTTGGACTTTGGCCTTTAGCCCCAAATAAATAATTTATTTACATTACAATTAGGTGTAGTAATCAAAAGTAGTAAGCAGAAAAACCGGCAATACGGGAGCAGCACTATTTTGTGAGTAATTGGATTTTTTGTACTTATTTTAGTCCAATTCAATTTTTTTTAATGTCAATGTGGTAAAGTTTAGATATTTCAATGAAATATGGTACACCAGTATGTACTATGTATCAAGGGGTATTATCTACTGTACTATATTTTTTTTAAAATACACCAGTAGCGGGCGTACGGAATTTCATCTGTATATTTTGGTAGATATTGATGGTACGCCACTGATTTCTCTTTAAAAAAATTTCTCGATTTTTTAAAGATGTTATTTTATTTCATTAAAACTGCCAAAGCAAAAAGAACAGTTCTTAATTTTTTTTGAAGGACACTAGTTCGTAACTAAAAACTAGATATTTTGTTTTAGATATATATTTTAATTTTCAAAAAAAAAACCTAATTAACCAAAACATTATTTGTTCATAGACAGTCAGTGGCATTTGCATTCATTTATGTGCAGATTTAATCTATTTTGTTTTTTTACTCCGTCGCAACAAAAATAATAACTAATTTCTCTGCATGCTGTCATATTAACGATATCATGTAGAGAAAATGTTTTAAATTTTTTAAACGAAAACCTTACATCGGATTGAAAAAATCAAGAAATTATTATTATTTAGAAATGATTGGAGATTGTATAAATTATTTTTATTTTAAGAGAAATCAGTGGCGTCCTAGCAATGTCTTCAAAAACAGACGTTAAATTCCATGCGCCAGCCACTGGTGTATCTACAAAAAAAAGTGATAAACTAAATAATGCATCTTGTTACATAGTACATGTGTGAAAAATTTCATTAAAATGACCTAAGTGATATTACAGGCATTAAAAATATATTTTATTTCTGAAAACTTTACCACCCTGTATCTCAAAAGTTAAGACGCTTAGGACATATGTTCATATGAAGTTTCATTTTTAAAATGTACGAAAAAATTTCAATTAGAAAACACCCCGTATAAGATAGTGCAAAGATTACAATTTGAATAACGAATTAATTTGAATTGGACTGACTTAAATCAACAAAAGTTCAAAAAATCCAATTACTCACAAAATACGACCATCCAATCCACTAATGATTTTGAAGTAAGAGATTTACAGATTTGTCTAGAAGTAAAAATGATATGTGCTGAAGTGTTTTTCATTGAACTTACCAATGGCCCTGCAAAAGTATTTCATAAAGTGGAGTTTATCCGAGGCCCCGTGGGGCACCTAGTAGATACTCTTATCTGCACCGATATTTCCGTAATCTGAAAAATAACGTTTAATAATAGTGAATTGTTCATTTCATCATAAAGTTTGTAGTATGTTCTAGCATTATTTTACCACTTCAGAACGCAAAATTTCAGTTACCCTAAACATAAACTTTTAGTTGCATTAAGTTACATGTGTTTTGGAAGTATTTGGGCATAGTATATTATGCAACAAGTGCGGTAAAGCGCATTTGACTCACGAGTTTATTTGACACGAGCGGAGCGCAGCGGACCGATTTTTTAATAAACGAGTGAGTTAAAAAGTTTACCGAACGTGTTGCATACTATACATTCTCTACGACCGTTAGTATTTGGGTACATTTTCGCAAAACAATACGAATACATTCATTTTACATGATCGTCAGAATTGACAAACGGCAAAATTCAAAGCGTGGGAAATATTTTCGAAAACATCCGATTGCTTCCTAATCCGTGCGGTAAAATAACGAAAATGTCTGAAGTGGCTCGGATTCATGGGAAACGAAACTGACGTGATAAAGTGACGCTTCCCGCACGCTAGATCGGTGGGTAATTAGGTATTTTACAGGCGGGAGTAGAAAAAACCTTTTTTTTGTGTTATTAGCTATACTTTTTGACATAAACGAGTGCTATTGGTACTTTTGGACGATTTTATTTAAATGAATTGGCTGTTTTTAAAACGTCGAAACATAAAAAATGGCCACAGTCGGTGAAGTAGGATAATTTCGCATGAAACTTTTTCACATACATGGATTGTAATGCCAAACAATCTCACCTCTCCGACTGCAAAACAGTTATCACTCACAGTCACAGTCACGGAACAGATAAAGATGTTCCACAAAGAAACGAAGTTGAAAATAGTAATAGTAGTAATATCGGAAAAACGATGAACATACCACCAGGAAAGACAATAAGATTTCTTCTTCAGTTAGTCGATGACTTAATTAATTAATCATTTCACTTTAATTTTTTTCATTTTTTAATTGAGAAATACTGAATTTTATTGAAATAGAATGAAATAGAAATAGGTTTAGAGAAAATTTGGATACTTTTAAATTCTAGTAATTTTGGTATGTTGAATCTGTTTCTAAAATTTGTTGTGGGTTGACTTTCAGATTTTTTTTTGTATAAAAAGCTCTGTTCTTTTATGAGAAAACATCGATAGGATGGACCATTATCGAGGAAAATAGATTTTAAAAATTGATTGACATTTATCTATAAAAAATTGAAGAGTAGGCCTTGAAATAGCATTGATAACTTTTGACATTTATGGTGCTTTTATTCACATTATCTCTGAAGTTAGTGGATACTCGTTTTATTTAAGGTTATTGCAATTGTAGGGTTGCTAGTCTTCCATCGGGTGTCTCCCCAGGTGGCGAATAGGGGGATGCTTCCCAGATATGGGTGGTGCCGCGTAAATTAAATACCCGGGACGGACCAAAACTAGCACTAAGGGAGTGCAGCTGGACTTTCAGTTAATGGAATCAACAAAACGGTGCTTGAAGAGCGATGTAGAAGGAAACAGAAAACCACTGCACTATTCTTCCAAGGAAATATCATGATTTTGGCTGATGGTCCTGAGTATTGGCGTTCCTTAAATGGAGCAAGGCTACCGCTCCAGGCGGTGTAAGTGCAGAAGTCGTAAAACTTCTCAAGGACAACGGGGTTAGCACAATTACCACCTTATTTAAAGTCATTTACGATACGGGAGTTGTACCGAGTGAGTGGCTAAGGTCAACATTTGTTTTGTTAAATAAGAAGAGCGGGGCAATGAAGTGCGATGATTACAAATCCATTAGCTTAATGTGTCATTGCATATAATTTACAACGGAATATACAAAAAGTTTGAAGAAAACATCGGCGATAACCAGTATGGCTTTAGAAAAAGACTCGGAACTAGGGAAGCACCGTTCGGCGTACAAGTATTGATTCAAAGATGTCGTGATGTTAACTGCAACGTGTGCTTGTGCCATTGATTTTGAAAAGGCGTTTGATAAAGTTCAGCATGAAAAAATGTTTGCAATACTCAAAACAACGGGAATAGATGACAAGGACATACAAATAATTTTAAACCTGTATTGCAACTAAAAGGCACCAGTGAAAATGAGAAACCAATCTACAGATGATATCGAAATCAAGTGAGCAGTGCGGCTGGGCTGCATTTTGTCCCCACTGCTTTTCAATCTGTATTCGGAAGTAATATTCAACAAGCCTTTAGAAAACGCAGGGATGGGGTAGTTGTAAATGACAGAAATATCTACATCAGCTATGGTGACGACACGATGATATTGGCAAACAATAATGAGGACTTGCAACTCCTGATGGATAGACTCACAATCGTATGTGAGCAGTATGGACTGAAAATGAACAACAGAAATACGAAATATATGATTATAAGTAAACAAACTTCACCACTGGACAACGGCATTCTTGTCAGCGGAATGCCGATAGAAAATGTCAGTAAACTCACCTTCCTGGACAGTAGCATTAATGACGGTTAGAATCCATCAGTGGAAATAAAAATAATAGAGAAGGCAAGAGCAACTTTGTGCGGATGACGAAAGCCTTGTGTAGTCATGATGTGTCTCTAAATCTTAGAATGAGGATGGTCCCTTGCTACGTATTCCCTGTTACATTTAATATGGAACCAAAGATACAAAGCACAACTAATCAAAGTGTACGTGAATTGTTTAAACGATCCCGTGGTAAGAAAGATCTTGGGAAATTATGATCATGAGGGGCGCTAAACAAAATTGACCATGAAAAGGAACACTTTTGCTGTTATTCACTAGTTCTATGGCGTAAATTAATCTTTAGCCTGGTAGAATGACCCAAAATGCTTATGATTATCTAAAAGTGCAGAACCTAAGACCGGAAGACTTCCTAAATTGCTTACAATTTTGGCAGTGGATTTTCAATGATCAAGATATTTTGGAAACAATTTTATGATCTGGCGACGAACAACAACAAGATATAAAGCTTTTAACAGTTTTAATGCGCATTCTTGGAATATTGACAATTCGAGGGTTGTTCGAAGACCCAACTTTAAACATAGGTTTTCTATTAATGTTTGTTCAGATATCGAAGGTAATACGCTAATAGGTGCTTATATGTATCCAAATAGATAAAATGCTAATTCTCACAAAAATATGCTTGCAAATGATTTGGCCAAATTGTTTGGGAATTTTTTCAGGGGTCCATTAGCTGGGGTGATGAAAATACGTGTATAGGGCGACGTGGCCCAGTAAATTAGTCAGTTCAGTCACCTGATTTCAACCCACTAGATTATTATATGTGTAACTCTATTTGTGCCTCAGAAGTAGATAGTTCAGAAGTCAAAATATTACAATAAGATCGCGAAAGATTGCATTAGATAACGCAATTGTTTTGGGTATATTCTATTAATTTAACTACAAACTCAGTAAAACACTGAAAAACTACCGGTTTACCGGTGTTGTGCATAATCAGCAAGCTAACCAAATAAGATTATCTTTCACGTCTTAAGATTTTCGTTGGAAACAACGCTCCATGCGTGCTCGTTTCATCCATCTTCGAATTAACAGAAAATTAGATTACCGATCGAGCAAGTCGCCTACGCACAGTTTGTATCTTCCCGAGAGAATAAAACTGGAAACGACAAATACAATGACCTAAGTTTTATAGCATATATGATTGATTCTTATTGTGGTCTCTGAGGACAGTACAATGCAGAGAAGCGATAAAACTGGAGTCATCAAATTAGTCGCTAAAACGTTTTTACGATATCTTTCAAGCAACCGACAATCGAGTTTGTCATAAACAGTTCTGGCCTTAACGAATTTATTGACTGTTCTTATTTTTCCCTATTTGCAGGGTTATTTGGAAGATATTGCTTCCATAAATTTGTGATAAGCGATTGCGTTCTGATCCCAGTTGTAAATTTAAGATGTTCGACTTTATATTAAGTGGTTGCACTTCCGGTGTTTAAGGGGACGATGGTAACTTTATAAAAGCAAATTTTAAATTTTAACAAACGTCAAAATTTTCTAATTTCTATAAGCCAATTTTTTTCAAAAACAACATACTAATCAATCTACAACTGGATTACATCCTACTTATCGAACAGGCAGCAACATGTAATGATTCATTATATAAAATCCAATACCAAACAAAACCACCGGCGTAGTTCAGCGAAGTATTTCTGGGGTAAAGCTGCTATTAGAACCAAATAAATCCAAAGCGCAATACCAGCTGCTATAGCACTTTTTCAAAAAAAACATCCAGTTGTTAAACAAGCTCATAGAGCTCAGCAAGTCAATGCACTCAGATGGTGAAACGCTTGGGAATAAATTTTTGACATCAAGGAACCTAGAAGTAACTGGTCAATTCCACTAAATGTTTGCAAGAAGTATAACTGAAAGCCAGTTGTACTTCATAGAAGTATGTTAAGTTATGGAGATATATAGCAACAAGGTGAACCAGTGAATGATCCTACTGGTCGAATGTATCTTGGGAAGTCCATAAAATATAGATGTTTTGGGATTCATAGGATACAATCTTTCTTTATAGTTTTTGCAAAATTCAATAAAGCTTTATCTAGATTCTTATTTATTTTATTAAATTTATTATTTTGTTTATGTGGTGAAATCCATTCACTGCCAAAAACCCCATAACCTCATCCACGTATGTTTTCCTTTCCATTATAATCAAGCACTTGTCAGCTTTGGTGACCCCGGGGTCCTCACCTTGAATTTTACTTAACAACGATGTCAAGAAGAGCCTTTTAAACGACTGAAGCTACAGTTATTATGTGAGTCGGAATTAAGCACTGTTTACTTTCTTTAAGTTCGATAATAAAATTTGTACACAAACTACAGGACTATCGATGGGTTCTTGCCTAGCACCTTTTTTAAATGAAATTATCATGAATAATTTTGAGAGAAAAACTACGGATATTCAATTAACATATTTACTAGCTTACAAAAAATTCACGTGGACGATATCTGTATTGCCTGGAGAATTTTTATTTTACGTTGGAGGAGTTGGGGAAACCTGTCCCTTTCTCGGTCTACATCTAAACAATGTGATACAATTGTTCTCCAACTCTTCGTATTCTCATAAATTTTCATCTTTTAATTCTCTGTTTTATTAACTTTTAATATTGTTGGAAAGGAAGAATTTAAAAACGAATTGAAAACGAATAGACAAACTGCATTCAACAGTTTGTTCTATCAATAAGTTATTTTACAATTTGTTAACAAATATTAATTGTCATATTATAGAATGAAATCAAAAAGTCCAGAACGTAAATTCCAATGCTAGACCTATTTCGGTTACATTGCTAGTTTGTTCGAGAGTAGGAATTTAACTATAGCGTTAAAAAAAAACAATATATTCAAACAATTTGTAATTAAAGTTAAAAATCATATATTCTTTGAAGTGTTTCAATTGAGATTATATCGGACAGTTTGGCAGAAAGATCTCCATCAGGATTCATGAACATCTTAGTGAAAAAAAAGCAAGTACATCTTTTCTCCACAGGGCTTAAACTTTTCTCCGAATAAAATTGTCATTGTTTTATATAAGCGTTCAAAGAGCCGAAGTGCAATAAAACTTGACTCCGGTGTAACCGGTGCAAACATTTCGTATTGTGGAGTCGGTCTCATTCCAATTCATGTTTGTGTGATTTTAAGTTTACATCTTTGTATGGTGTATTTTTTATTTATGCGAGTTGTTTCATTATTTCGACTTCGGAGTTCTTATTGATTCTTTATAATAAAGTTAGTTCTTGATAAACTTGGGCATTATTTTTTTGTAATTTTTTACCAAACTGTTGTTGCAAAAAAATAAGACAAGGAAGAAAAAAGTAGGAAGAAAATATGGCAAAGAGCAGAAAGGCAATTACAGCAACTTAGATATGTTATCTCAAGCACAAAACACAGTCATGTTAAGAGGTGGTTTTTAGTGAGTGTGTCGCACCATCAGAATCTCACACTACTAGAGAAGGGTATAATTATTTGGTGTCGAATAGGAACGCTAGATTTGCTCGTGAGTTTGCCGGGTGCAGATATATCACATGCTCGCGGTTTGTAACGCTACTACACTACGATACTGGTGAATCCAATTACCTAATTGCTTTTATTGTGGTAAGTATAGTCTGTCTCAATCTTTATTGTGCTGGCTTTTGCACACAATTATGGAAGTTACCTGCCGACGGTAATAAAACTCGCGTCGGGTAGGTGTTAGAGTATAGAACATTATGGACCCAATCTCAGAGGTTTTGTTAATAACATATATTTTTTGTTTATCTACGGGGGTATAATGTTATTAAATTACACACACACACACACACACACACACACAAATATATATATATATATATATATATATATATATATATATATATATATATATATATATATATATATATATATATATATATATATATATATATATATATATATATATATATATATATATATATATATATATATATTCAAATTCAAAGGATATCGGGTAGCGGTCCGTGGTTAAAAAAAAAAACAAAGAAAATAGAAAGCTCCTTTTTTTCTTTAACACTCAATATTTCGTCAATTTATTTGTTGACTTCTTCAGGAGTGAACTAGAATTTAATGAAAACAAGCGGTCAAACTATATAACAGACAATTAAAACAATCGTGAGAAATACTTACAAAATTAGAGTCTACCACATAGTTCCTCAAAACAATACTTTACAGGTAAAGTAAATGAACGAAGCGACATAATGAAACAAACGGATAAACACTTATTATACAATTCTTAATAATGGTAGGCAAAAGTTGCGCTAACCTAGGTAGCGAAACAAACAATCAAAAAACAATCGATATAAATAATGACAAAAAAGCATAAAAATAACCTACTCCGTGGATAACCAACGCAATGCGAATACGCTACTCGGTGGCCGAACATTACATTATCTGTTGTTTGACTGAAAAATGTTACAGTATATATTGCTTATTGCTGTGTATCAGACTTGTAGTTAGTTGAATTTTTGTTTTTGTTAATATGGCACATTTCAAGAAACAGTCGGGCTTTATAATTGTTGACACATTGCAAAATTTTAGGATTGCTGTAGTCAAATTCATGTCCTGTTTTTATGTAATGCTCAACCACTGCACAAATATTCTTATGAATACGGCTCTTTTGTGCTGTGTTAAACGTTGTTTTAACCACTGTGAGGTCTGTCCAATATAACAGCCTTGACAACCCAAACACGACAATCGATATATTATCGATATACATTAGAGTTGTACAGTAGCGGAGTTGGATCTCTCACCCTAGAAAAAAGTTTCGAGACTTTTTCAGTATTATATTTGGCAATTTTTATTTCCTTGAGTTCTTTGAAAATATTTATGATAGATTCTGTGAGGTTTTTAATATAAGGTATCTTTCTGTAACACATCCGAGCGCCTGGTTCCTCTGTTGGACCGTCAAATGTGTTGGAGTTATAGATTAATCTCTTAAGTATATGTTTTGGATATTGACAAAAATGTTCAAAATTTTGTTCAGGTTATTTTGAACAAAACTGTCATGGCTCAAATGTGTAACTCTGTTTTTCATGCCTATAATTGTACTATATTATTGGCTCTGTGGATGAGAGGAATAATAATCTACCTGAGGCAATTTCTTTCTGGTACCAATCCAAAATAATTTCATTTTTGTTAGTTCTAATAACCTTGGTATCTAAGAAGGGGACATATGAGTCTTTTTCAAGTTCAATTGTGAATTGTAGGTTGGTGTTGAAAGATTTAAAAATACTCAAGGTTATATCTGTTTGGTCCACATGGTACCGCACAAAGAAGATCGTCAACATATTTATAAATAAAAGGTAAATTCAAAGGTAATTTGGGTATAATTTGATCTAGTAAATGGTCCAATACTAGGGTAGCAATTATTGGACTGATGGGAGAACCCATTGGGGTACCAAAAATTTGTTTGTAGAATTTTGAATTGAAACTGAAATTTTTGAAAAGTTTGAAAAAATTTGTCTTTGTAAGATTAGTGTGTTCTTTTATCTTTTTCCATTCATTATCCAAAATCTGATTTACCAATTCGAGAGGAATATTAGTAAAGAGCGATACGACATGCAATGGAATCAAAACATAATTGTCAGGGAGTACGTAACCGTTGATGATGTTGGCAAAGGTAAATGAATCTTTTACATTATAGTCATTTGTGTTTGTAAGCGTAGTTTTAATGATATTAGCCATAAATCTCGATATGTTGTATGTAACAGAGTTAATCGAGCTTACTATTGGTCTCAGGGGGATATCTGTTTTATGGATCTTAGGCAAACAGTACAACTTTGGAAAGGATGAATTATAGATCGATAGTTGTTTACATTCACTGTCAGAAAGCTCTCTCTTTGTTTTTAATGATTTAATTATACTGTTGTAAGTTAATTGTATCGAAGTAGTAGGGTCGCGGTTGAGTCGTGTGTAGGTGGTCGAATCGTTTAATAATTCCATTTTTTTTTTAATATATGTGATTTTATCCATAGCAACAGTGCAACCACCCTTGTCCGCTTGCAGTACGTACAAATCAGGACGTGCATTCAAAAAATGTTTAGCTTCTTTAAATATTGTGTAGCCAGAACAACCATTACTATTATTGTTATGCATATAGTTTGTGAATGCATTTGCAACTTTTCCCTTCATATCTTTAGAATTGTCTTCCGTACCAACATCAGTAACATTTTCTATGTTCGCCAAAAAATTTTGATTTAGAAACTGATTATTATTGGCTGGTACGCTAAATTTGGGACCGAGTGATAAAAAGTCGGATATATTTTTTGGAATTTGAACGCTAGAATAATTTTGAAACCATTTTTCATTGTTTATATATATATATATATATATATATATATATATATATATATATATATATATATATATATATATATATATATATATATATATATATATATATATATATATATATATATATATATATATATATATATATATATATATATATATATATATATATATATATAATGTTTAGCTTTTGGTTCTTGGGTTATAGGTCTTTGTATTAAAAGCGATTAAAATTTTTTGTCCATATATTGACGTTTCGGTCTTCTATGACCTTCTTCAGAAAGGGGTACAGTCTAAAATTATGTTATAGTACAGTTCTTTTTTTTTACATATACACAACGGAATTACAAAGAACCTTACCAAAAAGAGACAAACACAAATCTTAAATTTGAAGAGGTAGCATCATATGGAAGTTTATACTTTAAAAGCGTTTGGTTTTGTCATAGTGCCTAGAAATATTATTGTTTTGGTTTTTTTTCCAACTATGAGAATAAAAAGTCATACCCTTGATAAAAGATAAAAGTCCAACAAAAAATGATTTGTATACGGCACTCACACACATAATACACACAAATTTAACGAAACAGTTAAAATATATATAAGAGTTTAAAAAAATAATAATAACAATAATACCGATATGCGAGGTTTGCTCGCGTCGACGTTACTGTAAAAACATCGTACGATGCACAATTGTTTTGGTGCAAGGTTCAGAGGATATACAGAGTGTTTTTGTTAATTTATAATTTTTTTCTTTTATTTATTTTAAATTATTTTTATATATTATAATTTTATATTAATATATTCCTATGTTGTATCTTTCATTGATGTTTTATTTCAGAATATTGCAATATAAATTACTGAGATTGTTGGTGTCTGTTTTCGAATTTATGGAGTTCTTATTTTTTTGGATCTCAACCATTTCCAGAATTTCCCTTTTGGTAAACGTATCACAATTTTGGATCCCATTTCGAAATTGATCCGTTGCAAAATTAATGTTTCAAACAAATTTAGCCACCGTTAAACGAAATGTCCCCCTAAAATAGCGCCAAGCAAAAAAGTTAAAGAATGACTTGTTTCCAAAAATAACGTTGCGTTCTAAAATGCCACACGCAGCTGAAATTAGGATTATATTGTAGCACGAAACTTACGCAAAATTGTCGGAAACCGTTGCCTCGAGAACTTCACTTTGATAAATTTTGAAAAAATCTATGAAGTAGAATTTTAGGCCGCAACGTCTGCCGGCCTGCACTGACTGGACTGTTGCAGGTAATTTCGCGTAGACAGTTGTGTTGGCAACGGGCGCACTTTTCGAAATAGAATTCTGATAAATGTTTTATCAAAAATTCTAATTTCACTTGCTTCTCAGTCATATTCGCGAAAAATGAAAATTTTAATTCAAAGTGATTGCTATAGATACTGAACTTGACGTAATCACCTGGGATTAATTATATTTCATCTAATAATAACCTAAACTTTTAATGACCTGCGACGGTTTTCACAATAGTCACGTGCTATTAATAGAAGGGTGTAATTAAGTTGAGAGAGGGCTAGCGAATTTCTAGTTCCTATTTCAATTATCAAATGAGTTTAGTGCGGGTAAATTATATAGCGAACGGCTAAAATGTGAAATAAATTCATTTAAAAATGGGGTATTGGATTTCAAGAAAAATGCTCGAACAGGTTCATCAATTTTTTCTAGCGTGCAAAAATTTTTAAACTTTTGAAAGTTGATTTCATTTGATATCGTGCAAGTTTTTTCATCAACAATAAATCAATAAATAAATACAAATTTCGGTCAATAGTTAAGTCCATTTAGTTTTGGAAGGTCTCTCCCTCTTGGCCGAAAAACTTCGTTTAGTGGATTTTCTTGTATATTCAATGCCCGGATTTTATTTTTTTAATGAGCAGCAGTAATTTACCATTTTTGCGACGTTCCATCGAACTTGATATCTCCGTTCCATTTCTTTTATATCTTGGTGGAACCTCTCACCTTGCTTCTCACTCACGGGATCACAATTCGGGAAAGTAGTCCAGAAGTGAGTGTATAAAGTTATACTTATGTTGCATCCAATTTCCCTAAATATCTTTGGAATTTGGATATTTGTTGCTTCCTAGAAAACCTTTTATAACATCAGTAAATAAAAATCATGGAACCTTTTCAGATTTTCCTTCAATTTTGCATGTGAGCAAGCGTAAAATTTTCTAGAAAGGTCTTTCAATCTTTATTTAAAGTTTAGGACCACTTCTTTTTCACCCGATGTTGCTCTCTGTTTCTACACTCGCACAAAAAACAGTGATACTAATAAAAGAATCACACAAATGGCAAAACATATTTGGAATACTTTTAACAAGTCTTGGCATTTTAAAAATAAATTTAACTGCACAATGCCTAGGATACGACTGCCTACAACAAACGCAATTACACCATGAACGGACTTTCATCAAGACATACGGTGACGACCCGTCGCGGCATTGTTTTTACTACATATTTGGGAATCCCAAAAACTATATTTTACTTCCCCGCTAATATTCTGGTAATTTATGCAAAACGTATACCAATGGCGTAGCAATTTCCATTGTTAGACTGTTATGTAATGTTCGTAGTGTTAAAACAATAAATATGACATCTCAAAAATTGATTCAAAAATGGTGCATGATGGGAACAAAAAACATTGTTTTTTTAATTAGTGTAATTCATGTAGCTTTTATGTGCATTTTGTGGTTTTCTCTTATACACTTCTTTTATTTTTAATATCTCCTGAGAAAAAATGCAGTGGAGTAATATCTGGAGATCTTGCAGGCCATTTCTATGTATTCCCTTAGACACTCACTTTGGATTATTGTAATTTCTGGAGATTTTGCTTTAAACAAATCACGAAATTCTTGCGTTCTCGCTTTGTCTCCATGTCCAATAAAAATTAAAATTTCATTTATCTGCGCTTCATTTAGATGGGTCATATTCGCTTTCTTTTTTATTTTTTATACTTCTGTATAAAGTAAGATATAGGTTTACTGCAAAAAGTGTGGAAGAAAAAATTTGTTCAATATTTTATCTGTTTACTGTATATACTCATGTTTAACGAATTTGTCGTTAAAATTATAACAGGGTGTTAAAAATTGATTTTTCAGTATATTCTTTATTTTAATACTTGATCAACTAGTTTTTAGGTTGTTTGTGTAAGGCGCTGGTTACGTATAGTTATATTGCCACTTATCATGAGTATTTTAATAAAAGACAGTAATAGGAGACATATGCTTATTCAGCAGCTTTAATTATATAAATACGCGCGCTAATCGTAGGATAAAGCAGTCTTGAAGTCGCTTTGCAGTAGTAATTATTGTGTTACTTGTGTTTTAAATAAAAAATCTTTTTTCTAAAAAATACGAGTTTCACATTTCGAAATAAAATTGGCGCAGTCAGTAGAATCTTTTTCAGCGTGTTTTTGGAAAACTTTCCGTTGCAAATAGTGTACCGGATCGCCGTCGCTAATTGATAGTGATTTGTGCGCTGGATTACCCTTTGGATTGTCAGTACATTGGATCAACGGTACGACACGCTTCCGTTTCAGCGGTTAAGGAAAGGATTTCAGATCTAATACGCAGAGCACTTGGGACTCCTGGCAACATCGACTATCGGTACGCCGTTCGAGAGCCAGCGGGACGAATTGGTGTAACCCAGCGTCCACTATAACCAATACCTCACTTGAGAAGTGAATCTCTCCGACGAACGTGTTGGTTGATACAGGAACGAAACTAGAAACTTATTGTAAGTTTTTACTAAACTGTTTCTTATAGTTGTGAATCCTGTTAGTTAAGAAGTGAAAATTTTAAATTTGTTGGTGAAAATCTGATGAAGAAATTTAGAAAGAGATTATCGGATATTACTTATCCTCAAAGTAATAATTCCACAAACAATCAACCGCGAGATATAGACGAACTTTACTCTAATATTTCTCTATTATATTGTATAGACGAAAATAATTCTACTTCTGTAAATACTAGTCTAGAAACCGAAACTATTAGTGCAATGGTCGACGCTTTAAGATCAACCGTAAGTTTGTTAACAACGTTTGGCCTTACCCCTTCTCGTTTAGAGTCTTTTATAAAATAAATCGACACTTTTCACGCAAGATATTTTACCAACGATGTATCGCAACAAAAATATGTCATTTTGGCAATTAAATCAAAAATACTAGGAACAGCCGAAGAAGAAGATCGTACAACTTGGGTCAGGATAAAATTAGTTTTAACACAAAAATTCAGTGATCCAATCACTCGTGCAAATCTTCAGCAACAATTAATATTTTTATCCAAGAAAAACGATCTACTCAAGATTATATCCAAAAACTCAAAACGTTAGTCACCAAAATTAATACAAAAATATGTTCCGAAATTCAAAATGCCGAAGCGAGAGTAAAATTATTTTCTCAAAACGAATTAACAGCAATTCAAAATCTTTTGGCGAATATTTCTATTGAGTTGAGAACGTTACTTATAGTTCAAAGTCCTCAGAATCTAGATAATGCTATTGACATTATTACAAATTACAAAATCGTTACAAGTCAAAGTTCGTATAAAAATAATTATCTACAAAATAATAACCTAATGCTGCACAATATACAGAAACCAGTCAATAATATTTTGTCAAAAATCCAAAGAGTCAACAACCCACAAATTCAACCCTTTAGAGAATCGAATTTACCTTTCAAACCCCCTCATCAAATGTCACACCAAAATTAATTCTTCAAACCACAAAATCAATTCTTCAAACCACAAAATCAATTTTTTAAACCTCAGAATCAATTATTTTGGCCACAAAACCAATTTTTCAGGCAACCTTTTCAGCAACCCCACACATCTAATCAAAACAAACAACAAAACAACCCCCAGAACCCAAAAAATCAATACCCCCAACCACTGTCAGGTGTAAGTATACAACCTAAAAAGCCATTTTCTGAAATAAGATCACAATATAATCATTTTCAACCCACAGGTAAACCAAACTTTACTTCCCAAGAACTAACACACCTCAAGCCGACCTAACTGACCTTAACGAATACAATTATTAATGTAATTACTACCCAAACTACGAAAATGTTGAACAGTTCAAAAAGGAAAATATTGATCAATTATAAGATTTTCAGTCAATAGCCTCGGACGAAGCAAACCCTGTTTAGCCCTAAATTGTTTCCAAATAAATCAGTTACCCTACATTGAAATCCCTAACTCTGAAATCCGTTTACTTATCGATACAGGTTCTCATGCATCTCTTCTTAGACCCTCTTTAGCAGAAACTTATTTTCCCGAATTAACTAAACCTTACATAAATACCTTTCGAACATGTGCAGGTTCACACCTAAGGCAACAATTGACTTATTCTATACCCATTTCATGAATATTTTAACGGTACTTTAGGAATTAAAGATTTATGTAAAGTAAATCTAAATATTAATTTAAAGAACACAAAGTTAAAAAGCAATATATAGAAATTCACTTTCAATACAGACAAAATTTCGACGATTACGTAGTAGAAATTCCCCCAAAAACTATACACAAAGCAACACTTAGGACTAACCTTCTTTATAATACGACATGGATAATGCCCTAACTATAGTGACGATGAAGTTGAAATACAACCAACCCTGTTACGATTAAAAATAATTCCTATACGATTGATATATCTAACCATTCAGACAAATCAATTGCCCTCGAAGGTAGCGTTAATAACTTACCTATAGAACCATTTGAACTTAACAACCTTGAAATATTTAATTTAGAAACACCAGTTCTGAATAGTCCAATGATAGAAAACCGAATATTTCGAAAAAATTATATTGGAAATTTAATACATCATCTAAATTCAGAAGAGAAGCGACAGCTGTTTAAATTCACAAGAAAATTCGAAAATGTTTTACATAAACCCGGAGATAGTTTAACTTTTGCAAATGAAGTAAAACACACAATTAAAACTAGCGGCGAAATTCCCGTACATGCGAAATCATATAGGTATCCGTATGTCCATAAACAAGAAGTCGATAGGCAAATAGAAGAAATGTTACAAGAAGGAATAATGCAACTCTCAAGTTCCTCTTGGAGTTCACCAGTGTCTCTCTTCAGTCGTTGTCCGTTTTCGGACGTCGTGACTCGTTCATGGATGTTGTGTAGTGACCCTTCGCCAAGCTTCTCTGTCCTCTACAGTACGCATCACTTGTGAGACCGACATTTGTGTGAGCTCCTTTATTTGATCTATATATCTCACTGGTGACCTTCCTCTTGCCCTTTTTCCATCAAC